TGGTGAAAACACAAATAACACTCTGCCAGATGACAAACTGTCCACAATCTTGTCTTCACTATTCAAAACGCATCCCATCCGTTCCAATCATTCACAGTCCCCTCTGACACTCAGATGGGAGGAGGGTGGGTATTAAATAATGACTGTATTTAAAGGCCACAATAATACATTCTCTGCCCGCCAGCCGAAGATTTGCTGGGCTGTTATTTCCCCACTCGATTTTCATGGGCATGCGTTTCCCCCATTCAGGCAAAATCACCACTTCCACTCTCAGCTGTCCTGATTGCATGAAGAAGAGTCTGATTGCATTATTCATCTGCAGGGTTCATAAAAGATTTAAAAAACTCTTGAAGACCTAAAGCTTTTGATGAAATGATGTTTCAGTAGAGGGTGGGGGAAAAAAATACCAACCCAGTTAACTGGTTTCGTTTCATCCCATAACTACCTCGGCAGCTGCAGATGGGGTGGCTGGGCCTGAATGGGAGGAGGTGGGTGGTTTTTTTTTTCATGAAGCAGGCTGTTGCATATATAGCTATTGTGCTGCTGCATTTCCTTTGTTCTCCCCTCTGGCCAGGGCCCCACTAGGACACCAGCAGCTCCAAAATCTTTCTTACAATGAAATCCAATGGCAGGACTAGCTAATTTCCAAGGTTATGCTGCCACCTGTCAACAGAAAGGCAGAATGCCGCCTTGTCCCAAATCACTCCTTCCCTCTTGCCATTCTTTTCTAGGACACTGTGAAATCTGAATTTAAGTGACATCAAAAGAAAACTTGAGGTTTTATCTTATTCAAGTGGTTTGATGAAGACATTTGATGCGTTTGGCCTATGGCAGTGTTTACTACCTGAACCCTTATCTCCCCCTATAGTTCTAAATGGAAAATGTCACGTTCTTCACATTTCCTTTGAACTCCACATGGACCCAACCTAAAACTGCTCTAAATCCCCCAAACCCCATCACCTTTCCCCAGCGTGTTAGGTGCTCAGAAATTGAAACCGATCTGCAAATGCCTCTTGATTTCATGCATCCAGGTTGTAGCCATATGGGTCTAGAGGCAGAAAGAATCCAAACTTGTGGAAGCGATGATATCTTTTTATTAGACCAACTAGATATTTGCAACCAGATTATTTTATTTGCCAACTTTTGGGTGCGCACACACTTCATCAGGCATAGGAGAGAGCAGAGATTGTAAAAGCTATCCTAGGTAGAAATGCAAATTCGTATTTCACATATTTCCACTCTTCTGTGAAATGTGAGACATCATAACTTGAAGGAAATATACTTCTACATCCTGCTTGCCACCAGACAACTTGAAGGTCAAAAGACTTTTTCAACCTTTCTCTGCTCCTAACTTGGACAAAATGAACTATTCCAAACAGGAGACTTTCCCACACCTTCAGCTTTCCTGCGAAATATGAATTTTTATTTCTGCCTAGGAGAACTTTTACAATCTCTGCTCTCTCCTATGCCTGACAAAGGGGGGGGGGGGGGTCCCAAAGCTGGAAAATAAATAAAACAATTTGTTTGCAAATATCTAGTTGGTCTAATAAAAGATATCACCTCTTCCACGAGTTTTGATTCCTCTTGTCTGCATGTTCTTCCTCTGATTTTCCTAAAAGCTGAAACTGAAATCAGGGCCCTGTTGTGCAAGGTGCTGTACAAAGTGCCCCGAGAGGCTGTACTTGTCCCAAGGATAAGTAGATAAGCTGAACAAGGAGTAGAAGAAAGAAAGAATTAATAGCCACATTTTTAGAGGGGTATCTAAGGCTCAGAAAGCTCAAGTGATTCAAATTCATATGTAAAAACCCGTGTAAGAGCCAGCAATTGAACCAAGATCTCTTAAAACCTAATCTGATTGCTTAACTACAAAATTATCATTTCTGTCAGTCATAAGAATATTATTAATAATACAATATCAGAGTCTATGGAAGAAGAACTGCTTGAAAAGTTTTCAGTGGAGGATTTACTAGTTCATATAGCTCACAGCAGTATAGAAAGTTATTAAGACACACACTTGATTCACAACCCGTATTCTAATTACTTCCTGTTATGAGGAAGTTTGGATCCAGGTCCTATTTTTGCATTGCTACCTGTCCTTTCTTTCTCATCCCAATGACCTCACAGTGCTGAGAGTTGACAGTGATGTCATAATGATGTCACAAAAGCATTAGGCACATTAGAACATTGTAGCTGAGCAGTGAAAGAAGTCAAGGAAGAAAAAGAAAGAAAAGGCAAATGCCTTATATACATTTGAATGGGCCCGAGACCAGCTCTACACAGAATGTGCGATTGCCTTTTATCATATCCTCTCTGTCAGTTTTTGTGGGAGGCCTGGTGGTCATAATAGCTGCCAGGATAGCCAAAAAAGCATACATGTTCATCTCAGAATATACTCGAAGGAGAAAGGTAATACCAAGTCTTCTTGAAGAAGCTTACACTTAAGTGCTAAATGGGGAAAACGGAAATCTTGAAAGTTTGCAGCCTTTTAAAATTTGGCTTCAGAAGAACAAAGAATACTTGTAATTATGCTCTGAACAAGGAAATCTGTCTCTGACTAGATCCTTTGCTGTACTGTGCTGAGCACAGTGTGTGTTCAGAGAATATGTATTGTGTATTGTGAGGGAGGGTATTGTGTTTGGGATTGTTGTCAAATCACGGGTGAGGAGGTGGAGGGTGATTTTTGTCAACATGTTTCAAGGCACAGAATATATTGAAGTTTGCCCTCCTACACACTAAAGAATATTCACATGCAGACAATTGAAATGCCCACACACACACACACCCAAATACACACAAACATACTTACACTCGTGCATAAAATGTATTCCCCTTTTCACGAATATATACAATTATCCATACACATGCACATTCACATGCTTAAACCCAAAACCCAATATGATGGGCGTGTACCCAGGACACATAAACACACCTATAATGTCTGTCTCCCATACAAATATATAAACACCAGGTCAGATTTTCAAAGGAGCTCAGGGTAACTAAGTGTGTCATTCTGAGTAAATTTCAGCTCTTAACATTTTTAGGCTCCTTTAGAAAACCTTCGTCTTGCACGCACAGTCACGCAGACACAGTTGCTCATTATTCGCACAGTCGCTCCAAATTCATTAACGTTATGATGCTTAAAAAGCTTTTTGTTCATATTACACAGCTAGGTTACTTAGTGACCTGATACCAAAAGAATTCAAATGTCTCCAGGTCTTCTTCCTTAAATCATATCAAGCTCCCTCCCACTGCTGTGGCATGCCGCATCCTCCCATCACTTGCAGGAGAGGGTTTGATGTTATCACCCACTCACCTGGACTGTGTAGGTGGAAAATGAGGGGAACACCTGTGTTGCTGGCAACCTAGTAGGCATCTCTGTTTGCCAAAGAATTCAATTAATTTCTGATCATCTGGCATCTTTTTGGCTGCTGGAGCAGAGATGGGGTTTGGTTCCTTTTTGTTGGCTCACTGGCTGCCAGTAGCACTTGGGGAAACTTGGAGGAGAGGGCTTGGTTTGATGTATGCTGGAAGGTACAGAGATCTGAACGGCCAGAAGTGGATAAAAAAGGAAAGGAAATTCATGGACAATCCAGTCTAAAATGCAGGTGTCTGAATATTGTGTTTGGCAGGGGAAGGTGCTTACAGATCTCTACCCACAGGCTAAACCTTCATTATTTGCTTTAGCAGTTAATAGCTGTATCCACAGGACAAGAAGGGTGCAAGCTGATGTTGCCAGGACATTTCTCATCCCACTGCTGGGACACTGGGTTCACATACAAGGGGAAAAGAGAGGTGAATCCTTTAGGCCATCTTCAGACAAAGCCTGAGAAGCGGCATGTCCTGGGACACACATGAGAGCATAGCTTAGAGATGGCCCAGAGGCCACAGGCAGGATCCATTCCTGCTGTGAGTGGGAGCAGCATCCAAACAGGAGTCCTGCAACTTCACTCCAGATGCATTTAGCTCTCCGCATTTTTCTGCAGCCTAACGAGGCTGTTTACATCAGGGTTGTTGGAATAAAATATTCATGAGAGACTAGAATTCGCCCTTTCTGTGTCAGACGGTTGCTCCAGCTAGTCCTGTGTCCCGTCTCCAAGTAACCCTTACATGATGCCTTAGAGGAAGGCAAACAAAGCCACTAAGAAACATAAAGGATCTGATCAGATTCATGGTACTTTGCATGAGGATAAAATGGCCTCTGTCTTCCTGGGAGACAACCATCTGATGCCTGAGATTGTGAAGTTTGTTTATGCCAGCATCACTGATTTAACTTGCACAGTTCTTGCAATTTATTGATGGTGACAAAGCTTTGTGACCTCTGTAGAAAAAAATCCCTTTTCTGTTTTCACTTTGGGTTGCTGTCGCATGTGAATACATGAGTATGTGTATGCATACGTTGTACTAAAATTGTATTTGTGTGTGCCTGCATCTGTGTTTATGTACATACATACGATTATGGGTATTTGTTAGATTATGCATGTTTGTGTTCATCACGTGTGTGCATACCTGTGAATATTGGTGTATGTGCCTGCGCTTGCGCACTGTATGCTTGTCTATGGTCATGTGTGTACTTGTGGGTTTGTGTCTGTATTTGTTTTTTGTGAAATCTTTTTTTTCATCAGACTTCAAACAACTATTAATTAAGTCCATTGTAACAGTGTGGTTTCTACATGGCAGAGCAAAATGCGGTGGTAATGTGAGAGCAAGTACATGTAAAATCTGCATCTAGACCGTTCCAGTACGGTAAAGCTCAGCATGGTTCCTGCCACGTCAGTCGAGGGAAGTCTCCCTTTTGCCTCAGTTGTGAGACCTGCGGCTTATGGACCAAACCAGCTCTCTGTTTTGTCTGGCTGTGCTGATGTGGTGGGTGTGTGGCTTTAAAAGTCCTGTGAAGCAGTGCAACCTCAAGCAGGTCTAGGATCCCAATCTGTTTGCATATGTCCTAGGGAAAGAATAAAAAAGATGCTCACCAGCTGTACCGAAAGAAACAAAGTTCAATCCTCTGGAAAGGAGCTTTCCACGAGAGGTTGCAGATGATGCTATCCGCTCAAACATTTGTGGGGAGAGTTCTGGTAAGTGGATTGCTTGACACAGGCTTCCTACCCCGGCAGGGCAGGATGAGGCATAGCTATCCAAGGACCCCTTAGCTCAGGGGTGGGCAAAATGCGACCCAGGGGCCGGATGTGGCCCACCAGGCCATTCTATCTAGCCCGCGGGGCCCCTAAAAAATGTAGAAAATGTATTTATCTGCACCTGGCTGCCTATCATGAGGCCCTCGATGGCTTGCCAAAACTCAGTAAGCAGCCCTCTGCCCAAAATAATTGCCCACCCCTACCTTAGCTGGTCTTTTGAGGTTCTCACAGGCAAATGAAAACCCAAGCTTTGTGCACAAAGCTAAAGCAGCATCACTTTTGCAGCTCATGCAACACAATTCACAGAGTTTCTTCTAACCACTTGGTAATACAGACTAGCCTGGGAGGAGGATGTGGAGTCTCCATATGCAGAGGGAGTGTAAAATGAAATGGCAGAAATGCATAAATGGGTGCAATCCTTTGACCCCAGCTGACTTCCTGCCCCTTGGGCAGGGGGCTGGACTTGATGATCTTCGCGGTCCCTTCCAGCCCTAACGTCTGTGAAATCTATGATAAACCCTGCTCCTTCCATATCTGGGTGGAGTCACAGGTTATAAAGGCACCGTCTTTTGTGGATAATCAGAGGGACTCGATCCCCAGAGCTTGTTTGGTGCTTAACACTCTTGACTGAAACTGCCAGCAGTGGAGTCTATCATGATGGCAATTCTCTTTCTTCCTTCCTCAATGCTCTCCTCCGAGTCACATACAAATAGCATACACGGGACACTAAGTGTGCTTTTGGATCTAAGCTAGTATTGAACAGCAAGCAGACTTTCATGACAGTCTCCTCCTTAACATGTCTTTTAGGTGATACTGGTGTTCCTAATGAGCATTGGATCCCTCATTATCTACATTATCAACTGTGCCTCGTAAGTAGAATGCAGATGTTTTTATCCAAAGTGTTCTTTGCTTCCTCTTACACAGGAAGAAGTTGGGGGGAAAAATGCAAACAGTTCAAAGTCAATTTTAGATGTGTCTTTCCAGTTTCAGGTACAATAACAGTAAAATGTTTAGCTTGCAAAATCCAGCTGTGTTCATTCTGCTGCTTATGTCAACCATAGCAATAGAGGATATGGCTGATTATTTTATTGATGATGCAGTCAGCAGAATTGGTTCCTGCACAGATTCATTTGGAATATCTAAGAAATGTCAGTCCCTCTGTGCTTCCACAAAAAACAAGTTAACATTTTAGGAAAGAAGAGACTGTTTTTACGTGTAGCTCCGGCTTGGAGGAAAGTCATAATAAATAGGAAATTTTGGTGGTATCTCATGGTATGCTCTGGCATAGAAAAGTAGGTAGCATTCCTATCCTGTTTGATATATACTATTGAAAATGAGCAGTGACAAGATTGTTTGAGCTAACAATGCCCAGCATAAGGCAGTAATTCCATTTCATTTCATAAAGTGCCTGTAATTACATAGTTGTTGCACTGTAGTTGTTCCACTGCAACTGTGTTACAGTTTTTGCTTTATGGTAATTCATTGCCTTTAACCAAGGTAAGCAGAAAGTTAACATTTAATATAGCTAACACTTTCTAACTCCTTTGATTTCATGGGTACCGCACAGATTTTTATATTTAAGGAACATTGTATTTACACTGCAATCACTCACTCATTTAGTTAACCTTCCAGTTATTTAAATTTAGTAATAATTACAGACATTAAAAGCAGAACTTCGATGTAATTACACTATAATTGCAATATAACTACATTTACTGATTATATAGTGTAATGGAAAAAGAAAACATCCCCAGTGCATTCTTTTTGCTGTACTTATTCAAGTTTCCTTGAACTTTATTTCTCTTCCTTTTCTGTTCGTGGATTTAGAGGCTCAAACTCACAAGTTCTCAGCAGCAAAATGAAGACCAAATTTGAAAAGTGCATTTTGGCACTTAAATGCAAACTGGTGGCTGAAGCCCGGCAGCTCCCATTGTGACATTTATATAGTTAAATTTTTAACGGAGCTCAGCACCTACTGTACACCCAGCCACTGAGCTCTCTTTAAATCTGGCCACCTATTCTTGGTGGGAATTAAGGTCTTTTGGAAAACCTAGCCCTTGGTAAACTACTCGACTGAAATAAAATAACTAGACTGAGTACTAAAGCATGGCGTGGCCCCTATCAATCTGCACTTGAATGCATATATTTTAGAGGAAGTGCCCAGGGGTAAAAAGATATTAATATGTAAAACCTTTTGATCGATTTAATATGCCATGGCATTGTTTCTCAGCATTTTATTTTGACTGGTGCATAACATCAGAAAAATAAAATGGAATGTTAAAACAAAATAAATAAAATATAAAAGCCCTGGAACAATCTGAAGTGAATTCAATCAGCAGGGGCAAACCTCAGAAGCAGAATTATACATCAAGTGCAATCCGATATTGTGTTTAATCCCAAGACATTAGAAAGCTGCCAAACAGCTCAGAGTAGCTTCAGAGGGAAAAGAGTTTCTTTTCAAGGCATAAACAAGCGGTTAAGATTATTTATGTACTCTTCACTCCATGAATAGCATTACACCCTCCAGGTTAAACTTGGTGTTTATGCTGTTTGACTTAGAGGGCAAGATTAGCTGGCCAGATCTCTCCACCCAAGAATTCCCCTACCACGGGGGAGGCTTCATTTGGCTTTCAGATGTATGGCCAGCTCCTACATCGCCCCTCACTGCCAGCCAGATCCAGGTAGCATGCCAGGGATCGGGGTGTGAGAATTTAGCCTTTAATTTAATGCCCCACTGAAGTCTTGTCATTCTTTTCAAGGCAGCCAAGGCTTCACCCTAACTGTTTGATTAAACGCTGTGTATGAAATCGCCATTTTCAATTAATTTAAATAACACGTAAAGGGATCTGAATCTTGTAACTAACTCAGCAATGTTACTGGAAATGTGATATTGTTTATACACCCTCACTCTCTGAGTAAGCAGAGATTTAAGTTGCTTGATAAAACGCAGTCCTTTAGCCACACTGTGGGGGAAATTTCACATCCAAAATAAAACCTGATCCACTAAAGCTCTTAGGTGTTTATCTAGTAACCGTAATGGGTTTTGGATCAGGGCCTAAATGTTTAAAGCACCAGGGGAGTTTGTGCAAATAACAGTGACCTTTCCTTCCTTAGACCTATAGAATACTTCAGCTCGTTCCCAGATGAAACCCTTCCTGTAGATATGGGCTTCAATACCTTCTTCCTCTTCTATTTTGGATTACGGGTAAGGGCACTGTACGTTAAAGGTCAGTTGTAATAATCCGCCCGAATGTCGCATATTTCCACCTAGTTTTGTACCTCCTTGTTTTATAGTTCATGGTTAAACATCTTCAAATTATTTTGCAGCTCCCTTCAGGAATCGTACATTCCCCTGCACTAATCCTCAAAACATCTAATCAATTAGCTAGATTCCCCTTCTCTTCTCCCTTGCATGGAGTGGATCACAGTGTACCATCTGTTAAAATACTGTTAACTGCATTGATGTGAATTGTCTTTTCAGCTTACATTTTGACACTGGAATTTTGTCCAAGTCTATAGAAAGGGAGATTTTCCTTACGATGTATTTGGGTTGCGATTGCCAGCCTCTGGATTTTCTAGTCTGTTGTCCTGAGATGTGGTACCTTAAAAAAATAAAAGATCACGCAGGGAGACGTAGACAAATGAGAATGAAGCGAAAAAGAGGGAAAGATACTACACCTGTGAGACAATGGACCAAATTCCCCCTTCTTGTAACTGCATTCTCCACTGAAGTCGGCGCAGTTCAGCTAATTGTCACAAAGTGCATTACTTCGAAACAAAACAAATCATGAAATGAGTACCCACAAGAGCAAAGGTTGGGCAGGGTGCTAGAGTGGCAGCTTCTGGGACATGAATTTGACACCCACTCTGGGTGTGTGATGAAGTCCACTTCCAAGCTGTAAATGGGCACATGGTCATTCAGGCTGGGCAGTCAAAGGCATTGCTAGCCCCGTTGTTCCCTGGTACATCATTCATTAGCTATCAAGAGCGGTGTGCCTTGGCTACACTAGCTTGACACAGGCTCTTTGACACTAGTGGGTCTCTGACTTGGGGAGGGAGTTCATAAAAAGGGCCTCTCTGCTTGCTGAGCAGACTCCTCCTTTCTGCTCTGATATGACCCACTTTTATGCCATTCTCGTGCTGTCTGGCTTTCTATATTGCCTGTAGTTCTTGGCAGCTGACGACAAGCTGAAATTCTGGCTGGAGCTGAACTCCATTGTGGATTTCTTCACTATTCCTCCAGTCTGTGCCTCCTATTATTTGAAGAGGAACTGGCTTGGTAAGTTTGAGATCAGAGTATAGTTTCCCATCACATTTATTTCATTTCTTATTCCAAAGCCTCCATGTTTTCCTGTAGAGAGATGGAGGTTTTGTCTTCCATCTTGACTTCTCCTCTTTTGTGAATGGGATCACAACTAGGCCTGGCTGGAAACAAATTCCCCACCTTGTCAGATTTGGATCAAGGCTTGTACAACTCCTACTTCCATCCTGCTCTATGTGCTTAACTTTTAGTACTGTGCTTCATTGAGCATCTGAGCAGCTATATGAAATGTTACTCACTTGAGGAGTTCAGTGAGGAGAACGCAGTGCTTCTTTAGAGTGCTTCTGGGGTTAAGTCCATATGGCCTGGGTGTCACTTGAGCTTCATTTAGGCATTCAAGATATAGCTTAAGGAACCGAATTCCTTATCTTTTCTCATAATACAAGCCTCTTCTGCGGCCTTAAGTGGAACTCAAGAGACAAGTATACTTGTGAGTAGCAGTGAATTTCACTGTCTGTAGCCAGTTGGATATGGCATCCGCTATAGATAGAAATAGAAGTGCGCACACGCACAAGATCTTGTTGTTAGACATGTCCTTTCTCCGATTTCTTCCTTTTTTGATCCTATAGGTTTTCGATTTTTGCGAGCGCTCAGGTTGCTGGAACTTCCCAAAATATTGCAGTTTCTGAAGATCACCAAGACCAGGTAAGCCAAAGTTCAATCACATGCCATCTACTCCCAGTTCCTATATTTTGGTGGGCTTAGCAGTTGGACCAAAATCATGAATGACAGCTCACCAAGTGGGAGCCTTTCCCCATGAGTTTTTCATTTTTGTTTGGCGTGGGTACAAGTGCCTGGGTGGACATCCAGGCCTGTGTCTTGGTTCATTAAACCTTCTGAGGCTGAATCATCACTCATTCACCACTCTGCCAGTTTTCTAAAACACTGTATAGTTATTGAGCACAGTGCTGCTGATGCATCAGGCCTATAGAGCGAATGGTACCTAAATACAAATAATGATACAAATAATTTTGTAGCAGTACGGCTTGGCTTGTTTGGGAAATTAGTTTATAATATTATCTGGGAAATGGCCAGGTACTGGGCCCTTCCCTCTCCCACTACACTCAAAGCAACTCTCACTAGTAAGGGGGAACTGTGCACATTTACAGAAAATCAGAGCCTGAACGAATAAGCAGCTGGGACACCTATTAAATGATAGGGAAGATGATTTATGAACAGAGAGCCTGATTCTGCACCATTATAGTCAATGGGAGCTTTGCGATCGTCACAGGTGTATGCAAGAATGGTTGCACTGTGCATCAAATGAGACTGCCAGCACCTTGGAGAAAGCACTATGTCTCATTTACTGCTTCTTGTAATAGTTAGAGATTGGCCAGTACCAAAGATCTGGATCTGAAAGCCCCCAAATTTTGGAAGAGTGCTGATGCAGGTCTCAGTGGACGTATTTGCGCATCAAACTAATTCAACTGAATAAACTCGGGTATAGTTCGTGCGGGAGTTTTTCTCCCGGGTGCAGTGTTTACACATGCGCCCGGGACTACAGCACGTTGAGTGGGGGTGGCACAGCCTGGGCTGGCAGGGGGTTTCAAGGGTCAGCTTGCTGGTCCGGGGCTGCTCCCCCTGGCTCAATGTGCTAAGGAGGGGCTGGTTGAAGCACAAGGGTGATTCAGTGCGGTACGAGCCAGCTGCATCGGCATCTACACTTGTGCTGCAGCACGGTAAATAGCTCCACCTTAGGATAGTACTTGTGTTTGGCAGTATTATCCTATGTTGGGTTAATTAATTTACTCCTTCCTATTAGCACTGCATGCCTAAATGGTGACGTTTTACTGTGGAGCTAATTCATCAACTCCACATCAAAGGTCTTGTGTAGATGTGCCCGGTGTGATTCTGAGCACTGCATCCGCCATGTGACTCCATCATCAGCCGAACCAAAGACCTGGGTCTCAGTTGGTCAAACTTCAGAAAAATTTAAGTTCTACTCCATATCTTAATTTTATTGCTTTGGCCCATCTCATAACAAGGGAGAATAAGAGAATCCTATATAGGCATAAACAGGCCATCAATCAATTTAGGCTGGAAATTAGAACACTTTTAGCTGTCAGAGGAGTGAGGCTTTTGGAACAGCTGCCTAGTCAGAGTACTGGAGGCAAGAAACTTGATTGGTTTGAGGATGGAGGTTGATCAGTTTATGCATGGGATTATGTGACAGTTGCCTATGGGCTCCTATTAATGTGCAGAGAGGCTGTTCTGATGTGCTACAATTATACCGGGTTGGAGCAGACTAATCAAGTCTGCTGGAGCATGGTAATTACCACGCTCTAGCAGACTAGCATCGTGAGTATCAGCATCCCCATGCTGAAAAATGGTGGCGGGGACACTTTAACTAAAGCTGCTTCGATAAACTTTAGTTAAAGTGTCCCCACTGCTATTTTTCAGTGCGGGGATACCGATGTACACAATGGTCCAGGCACTTTAATTGTTGCGACTCTTGGAGCCTCACTAATTTAAAGCACCCCCCCCCCCCCCCCCACTGTGTAAAAAACAAACACCCTATGATAGCAGGAGGCTGGACTCTGTGACCTATGAAGTCCCTTAAAGTTCTATGCAGTATGTTTGTGTCATACTACACCTGATAGGACAGTATTTTGACTTGAATAAGTGAGTTCAGGGTCATGCAGGAAGCTGTAATTTTTACATAGCTCATTCTCATCCATGTTTTTTCCCCTCCTATCCCCAGTAATTCAATCAAGCTGGTCAAACTGTTAGCTGTATTTCTCAGCACCTGGCTCACGTCTGCAGGGTTTATTCACCTGGTACGTACAATCAGCTGCACATCTTCTAGGGACCATGAGTCAGTACTAAGACAGATGCTTTGGGGGTACATTTAGCAGCCTTTCACTTGGGAAAGGTAGGAAGGGAGTACTGTTTAAGTACAAAGCCTGCTATAAAATTGCCTTAAGTGAAAAATGGGGACAAAAGGGGGAAGGTGTCGTCTCTTAGCTGTACCAGCCCCAAGGAAAATGTATGCAGGTTCAGAAATTAATGGAGAAGGGCATAGGCTATCTAAGGCTCAGAGCTTGTTTATAGTCAGGATATTGTCACTATCTGCATTATTGTAGCAACATCATCTTAAGTGCCTGATGTAGATGTAGTGCAGCTGGGAAGTGGCATTTACACTGGTACAACTTAACTTGCGTATGTTACCAGACTAAAATGTACTGGTGTAAGCTCCATTTTAAATTGGAGTTGCATAGGGTCATTTGTGTTTTACATCAGGTTAGCTACATTTATGGTAGCTACAATTGTGCTTATTTATTAGACATAAATCTGGCTTTAGACAATTACTTCTGGCAAAGAGGCTTCACACTCTTGTTCGGGTAACAGAAGGAAGTGGTGGAGAATCCAGGTATATATTTGTGAGTTGCAACAGGGCACCTGATAAATCCTCTAGCTGGTTTGTCAGCAGTGAAGGAGTACTGTAACTCCTGCTGGGCAATAAGCAGCGGGTCCGTTACCAAAAGTATGATTGTTTCATCCCTGAGGAAACCAAAGTTGCATGGGATCAGCAACAGAACTGTTACTCCACCAGAACTTTCCAAGATGCACCCTTTCATGCTGGGCCTGAATGTATTATTAATGATAGATGATCTGAATCCTCCCTACTCTTTCTGTCTCAATTTTTTCCTGCTAGGTGGAGAATTCTGGAGATCCTTGGATCAATTATGACAATTCTCAATTCCTGAGCTATTTTGAATGTTTGTACTTGATAATGGCAACTATGTCAACCGTTGGCTATGGAGATGTTGTAGCTAAAACTTGCCTTGGTCGTGTTTCCATGATTTTCTTCATCATTGGCGGGTTGGTAAGAAATGCTTCTCTCATTTCTGTGTCTGACCACTGCTCTGGAACGAAGTGATTTGAGTGCCAGTACTCATATTCAGGGGTGAGCTGTGAACGATGATGGCCTGACCAGCATTTATGACCAAACTAGATTTTAGAGGGTTGATCTTAGCAGGACACAAAAAGTATTTGGATATAAGCTGATACATACTTTTTTTTATTAGTAAATATTTACTACCACCACCAAAAATTCAATGAAAAAAACTCAGGCTTTGGAACAGAGACTCAGTGGGCGCATCTACACATGCATCAGTGTGCTTCAGTTAATGTGATGTAATGATCTAGTACCTCCATTGTGAAGTACTAGGAAAATGAGTATAAGCCTACCTTAATGTGCATTAACTAAAGAGCGTGGTGTTTAAGGGCTCCTACACGTGCATGGAGCCTGCTCCGACATGCTGGAAATTCAGCGATTAATCGAGTCTGTAGGAACATGTAAATTCATAGATTCATAGATGTTAGGGTTGAAGGGACCTCAATAGATCATCGAGTCCGACCCCCTGCATAGGCAGGAAAGAGGGCTGGGTCTAGATGACCCCAGCTAGATGCATACCCAACCTCCTCTTGAAGACCCCCAGGGAAGGGGAGAGCACCACCTCCCTTGGGAGCCCGTTCCAGACCTTGGCCACTCGAACTGTGAAGAAGTTCTTCCTAATGTCCAGTCTAAATCTGCTCTCTGCTAGCTTGTGGCCATTATTTCTTGTAACCCCCGGGGGCGCCTTGGTGAATAAAACCTCACCAATTCCCTTCTGTGCCCCCGTGATGAACTTATAGGCAGCCACAAAGTCGCCTCTCAACCTTCTCTTGCGGAGGCTGAAAAGGTCCAGGTTCTCTAGTCTCTCCTCGTAGGGCTTGGTCTGCAAGCCCTTAACCATATGAGCATTAAGGCAAATTGATGCGCTTCAGCAGCGTGTTGCATGTATCAGCGTTGCCGCACATCTCCGCACTGAAAAAATGGTGGTGGAGGACTTTGAAATAAAACATATTCAATGAGCTTTAGTTCAAAGTGCCTGCCACCATTTTTTCAGCACTGGGATGCGCAGTGATGCTGATGCATGTGACATGCTGGCACTTTCAATTAGAGCAGCTCGCCAGTTAAAAGCGCCTGGCGCTGCATCCCAACACATGTAAAAATGCCTTAAGCGACACTTTAATGCACATTAAAATCAGCTAATGTATATTAAAGTGCATGTGTAGACTTGCCCAGTTTTAACTAACCAGAACTGGGGAAAAAATGTTATCTGCCTACTACGTTATACTCAGTACCACTGGCTCTGACCATTTTAATAAGTTTTATCCTCACAACACTGAGGTCAGGAAAGCTTTTATCCCCTTTTTACAGATAGACAGTTGATACAAAGGACAGATTTGCTCAAAGTCCCTGATGTAGCTTCAGAGAAGTTGGAACTGAATTAAATTATCTTCCCATCCTCTCAATATATTCCCATAGGATGACTTTCCCCTTCTTACAGGGATGCTTTTGCTTGGTTTTAAAGCTGTTAACATTGGCCAAGGTTGGAGCCTGGATACTGGTGTGGCTGGATCCCTGGGGCTAATGCATTGATTGCACTAATCGTATATCACACTGTTATACAACATGCGTTTCACCACTTGGTACTGGTGGGGTTAGGAAGCAAATGTGAGGCTGCCATGGCTCCTAATTCTGAAATTTAGCATGGATGGAAAAGGCAAAGGTGTCTTTAAGAATTTTGTATTTCATGACACTGTAGGTCCTGTTTGCAAATTTCATCCCTGAAATTGCGGATATTGTTGAAAGCAACAAAAAATATGAAGGGTCCTACACGGTGGTAAAAGGAAGAAAGTAAGTGTTGCTGTTTTTATTGTCTTTGAAAAATAAAGATAAGATTAGTAGACAGGGGCCACCTCTACATGTGCACTTAACTGCGGATTAGACTAACTGCGGAGTTAAGCGTCACTGTCTACACGTGCAACACTATTCAGCCGCAGTAAACTAATTAACACAGCTGTAAGATAGTACTCCCCAACAGTACTGTCAGAGACACGACTGTCTTATGGAAGGGTAATTAACTGCAATTAAACACGCATGTAGACGCCGACTGCAGGCATAAATTGTGCACAGTCAGCCTACCCAGCAGGGAGCCAGACTGCTGCCTGCTACCTATCCACATGGCTCTGGATTTTCAGCACTCTTGTGCTCCAGCCAGCCCCTCTGTCACCCAACGCTGCCACTTGGAGCCTGGGGCTGATCCCTTTTGTGCTCCTGGTCTTGGTGTAAACTGCTGTGCCCCAACTGAAATTGCTGCTGTCCTGGGCACATGTATAGTTGCTATGCCTGGGAGTAATTTACCCCAGCTCAAACTGCTCCAGAGTTTATTGCTTTGAATTAATTGCACATGTAAATGCACCCAGGGTGCAGGAAATGAGGAAACGAGGAGTGAAATAATCCTCAGAGAAGAGCTGGAACGAAATCCAAAAACTTTCTGTCTGTCAAACATGGTCCTTATCACTGGATCTACCTCTAGCAGTTAACAGCTAGATAAATTAGAACTAAGTCAGAGGAAACGAGAAAACCACTCTCAGACAAAACACATTTTTCTAACGTATTCTTCACTGCTTCATCAATTTTCAATAGAACTGGTTGAAGTTTTTTGATCTTCTAGCCAGTGGATCTTGTTATACCTATGCGTGTTAGATTAACTAGCCCTCTGATACCTGGTATCTTCTTTTTGTGATCAACTCTCTTCTCAAACTTCTTTTGTCCTAGTCTCTCCTAAATTATTCCTTTTTTTCCCCCCCACTTCTTATGTCTAAACCATTTAAATAGCACCCTTGGGACTTTTAGTTCAAGTTCCCCCACTGCCATTTCAAAGAGTGGGGATGCTCTTGATACAAGAGACACAGGAGGCTGCTGGAGGGGGGAATTCCCCAAGCTCCAACACGCTCGATTTAATTGAGTCTTCTCCAACGCGCTGTAATTACACCGTGTTGGAGCAGCCTCCATGCTCATGTACAGGCACCCTTTTATTTGCAAAATAAATCTTTCCATGGGCAGGATCATGATATATGGAATCACAGTTACAGACACAAATCGGTTCCAAACCTTTGCTGTTCATAACTGGGACCACAGCCTGCCTAGAAGTTTGTATAGTATTCAGAGACATCTAAAGACTGATTCATGTACTACAAGTGAATATATCATTATACGATGTGCCATGTTTGTAGTGAGCACTGTATAGGTTCCAAATATGACAGATGGCTCTCTGAATCTCTTTCTGTAGATATATTGTTGTCTGCGGTAATATCACTCTGGAGAGCGTGACTGCTTTCCTGCGAGACTTCCTGCCCCAGGACACAGGAGATATTTGCACTGAGATACTCTTTCTGGGAGAGTAAGTATCTCTGTATCTCAAAGACATGTCATATACACTTCCCGATCATGCTAGAAGGTTTTAATGCCAGGTGGATTGTTCTAAGGGAAGTCACACTTTATAACTAATTAATGGGAGATATGATAAAATAGGAGTCAATTGAGGCCTTCCCACCTGGGGAAGTTCTGTGATGAAATGTTTTCTGTTATTGTTGTCTAAAGGAAATAAAATTATTCTCCTTTTTGATTCATATTTTAGACTCACTCTACCTGAGATTGCCTCGCTTTGGCAGGACTTGGAATAGGCTGTTGGGTAGCTGTTGGTATTCTCAATTTTTCATGTGTCTTTATATTTGTAGGCAAAAGTGTTTTCTTCCCGTTGCTCATAACTCATTTATTCATCTTGGGGCTTGAAAAGGAAGGAGAATGGAACCATGCTGGTAGAGCCAAAATCATGTGGTGCTGGCTCCTACCCTGGGGGTCTTTAAGAAACAGCTTGATGCCTACCTGACTGGGGTCATTTGAGCCCAGTTTTCCTCCTGCCGAGGCAGGGGGTTGGACTTGAAGATCTACAAGGTCCCTTCCGACCCTATGTCAGGCATTTCAAACGCATTATCCCCACAAATACCATCTTCTGCTTGTCTAAGGTCATTGAACAGGTTTCTAAAAGAAGAACCTTCGGAGGTGGAAAATTAAGTGGGAGTGGGAAGATGATTTTACTTTGGCAAGAGGTGTTGGAGAAATCGGTGGTGAGCCAGTGATGGAGACAGCACTTTTAAGGAGTTACTGGATTGGAGAAGCTGTAGGAATGAGCCACACAAATGATTCAAGGACTGCAAAATAATGCTTTAAATTGACAACTCAGTCTAAGTGCCTTGTCAGATCGAAGATTAAGAATTGATTTGATTATAGTGCATTACTACCTGCTATACTGCCCCCATGGAGTTAGTTAAGTCCTTTTTAATCTGACAGAGAGAGGCATAACAAGAAGCAATGGCTGGAATTTAAAGCCAGGCGAATTCAAATGAAAAGGAAGGCACACATTGTTAACTTTGAGGGAGCTTAATAATTCCACCAAGAAAACTACCAAGGGAAGTGGTAGATTCTCCATCTATTGCTGTCTTCAACTCTTAGTTAAAAAACTCCTATGGAAAATATTTTAGACAAACATAATTTGTTGTGCTCAGTAACGAATAACTCGACAATATTCTATGGTGTAGCACCTATGGGAGCTTCGAGTGAGTGTTTTAAAAGGTATTTCTCACCTTGAAGTTTATGAGTTTATGAGAGGGGCAAAACACATTTTCATTTGGAATACTGGTTAAAAAAAAGTTTGTCCGTGAAGTACGAATATAGCAACTAAGTTTAAGACGAGGAAGGTAGGTGAAGTGTTGTATGGCGTGAAGAGAAATGATTCCAACTTCTTGAAAAGGGTGGGATCAGTCCCTTGCTTTCTATTTCACATGCTTTAGCACAAGGGGGCTAGGGTTGGTCTGTGCTCATTTTAGTAGAAAGGCTCATTTAAAAAGAATACCATTCTCATTGCGATTACAAAAAGAAAGAGAGAAAATCCAGGGAACATTTCCATGGTTGTTAAGCTTTACAAAGGTTTGTTTTTATTGCAGTCTAAATGATGCACCTTCACTGACCTGTCAAGGTCCCATTAGGTTGATTTTTTTTTTTTTATTTAATGGCAAATGGTATTGTTGAGAAGACTGTGAACATAAGTATTAGCACTTGAAGAGCTTTTCTCTTCTCTTCTGTATTTTCTTCAACGCATAGATCTCTTCCTAGCCTGGAGCTGGAAGCTGTATTCAATTGCTATTCACCCTACACCACTTTCTTCCATGGTTCTGCACTGAACGATGAAGATCTGAAGCGAGTTCAGGTAAAGACTCCCTTTTCTGTCTGCCCTTTTCATTTCATGACCCATAGTTTTGTGTCTCCAGCTAGAAGCTCCTTCCAGCCAAATGTTTAGATTTGGCTTGCCTATACTCGCACTGAGCAGACTACTTCTCAAGGAGCCCCATTTATTTCAGAGGAATACTTTGTAGAATTATATCCCTTTCAACGCGAGTATGATTGTAGGAATCTGTTACTAAATGTCTGTCTGCCTAGTGGAATAAGAAGTGCAAAGATGGAAAGGGAAAAATAAACGCCACAACCAAATTGCGATCTTTCTGCTTTTAAGAGGCATGAATAAAATTCCATGAAATGTAGCAGTTTTGGAAATTGGCTTTAAATTACTGGTTTTAAACCATTGAGAATCTTGTTGATGGTTAGAAACAGCACTTAAAAAATCAGCAGTTTGAGTCATGTTTGTTTCTCGTTCGGTTTGACTGGAAAATAGGAAGTGTATTTAGGAGGCACATTTTTTTCTTAACGTTGCAGCCTCTCGGTAAAATATCCTAATGAAGGAAGAGGGAAGGAATCTAGTTTATTAGTCTCTAAAAGTATATGTAAATAACTAGTCTGAATCCAGGGCCAGTCTTTTCTGGGTGTTGGCCTGTGTGAAATGCATTTGGTAGGCCTCCCTCCAGCTCCTGAAGGACAAATGAAATGAACCTGCATTGGCAGTCTCGCTGGCAAAGCCAAAAAGTGATCAGGTGATGGAAACTGAGCTCTCCTAGCCTGCTGTAACGTTTGAATATTTTTGGCAATTCACTGTTGGGGGAGATTTCAGTGCTGCTGCTTGTTCTAAGAATAGAAGCGGTGAATTTATCACCTTTTACCATTTTGACAGTGCAAATCTGCATCCTGCTCTGTATGGGTTGCTTGAATGGAGCCTGTAGGCTCCTGAATCTTAGGGGGTGATTCAGTCTTGCATGCCAGTCCAAAACAGTACATTTAGGATGGTCCTAGGCATGGTTTAAACCAAAGACACATGCCATAAAATCAGCAAGTACAGAGGACTGTTGTGCTTCATACAGAATTTAACCCCAATTCTGTTTTTCTTTCCTGGGAAATAGATGGGATCTGCAAATGCATGTCTGATCCTTGCAGACATTTGTTCTTCAGAACCTTACACTGAAGACACTTCCAATATTATGAGGTAGGGCCAAATCTCCCAATGAATGTTTCCTTTCTTTGACTGGCTGAAACTAACACCTGCAAGAAAAGGGTTCGTCTCTCTCCTCGCTCTCTTTTTTTTCTGTCAGGAGAACACTAAGGCTACCTGACTGTTTTTCCATATTAAATGTCAGGTCTTATGCAAGACAATGGAGGCAACTGGCAGCAGTTTGGTCACTGCAATCACAAAGACTTGTGTTCTTGTTTTCTCGCATGCATGCACAATGTTGGAGCTCTCAAAGAGTCATACTCCTTTATCTGGAACAAACCATGGTGTGCTTTACAAGCGTACTACCGTGTGCAGTAGTTGCATGAGCTCTCTCATGCTAAGCAAGGTTGGGCTGGGTCAGTATTTGAATGGGCAACTCCTGGGGTGCGTGGGGGAGCTGTATGTGATGCTGGTGATTCAATAGGTAGGAGCTCTTCCTTAGAAGCAGTACAATTTGTATGCAGATTCAGTGACTTGGCAAATAAATCAAGAGGTATATATGGTTTTTTTTTCTCACAGGGTGCTCTCTATCAAGAATCACTATCCAAACACCAGAGTCATCATACAGATAATCCAGTCACATAACAAGGTAGCACAGTAATCCCTGTGGTTTGTCTGTATGTCCATCAGTCATACTCAATGTCCAGGGTAAGGCCATGGCCTCAGTGATGTTAGTGTTAAAGCTTCCTTTGGCTTCAACAGGGCCAAGATTGAATCCTATTTATCTTGCTTCTTCAGTTACAGATCTAGAGTCTCCTTATAACTAAACAATAAATGATCAGAATGGATTTTTCTCCTACTTCCTATTGACTGCTGTCAAATATTGATCGAAATTTAAGATTCAGTTTTTTGTGCTGCTTAACTGCACATAGTAAACCATATTCTTAGAGAAACATAAAGCAATTCTTTTCCCAAACCTATTTTGCATTGAAAACTGAAGAAAGGTTTATTTTTCAGGGTCATGGTAAGCCTGCCTAACATTATCTGCCCTTGTTTTTGCTTTCTTATCTGGAGACAGGTATACCTGCCGAACATCCCCAACTGGGACTGGAGAATAGGGGACAGCATCATCTGTTTTGCCGAACTAAAACTTGGATTTATAGCACAAAGTTGCTTGGTTCCAGGGCTGTCCACCCTCCTAACCAGTTTGTTTGTGAGGAAGGAGAGTGCTGAGGTAAATGTTTTGCTTGTCCAAGTAGTGCAAATGCAGCCTCGTGGAATTTTATCGAAAATGTATGCATGTATCTGAAATGCTCGTTTGAGTCAAAACTCTGCATGGGTATTTTCAGTCTTGCCTTGTCCATACTGTGTCTTAGATTGGCAGAGCAGATGCGGTAACCCAAGGGACAATTTTTAATCGAAGAGTTTACTCAGTACTAGGGCAAACAAGGTTCTTTGGGTAAAGGTGATATCTTTTATTAGACCAACTAAATAGTTGGAAAAATTGTTCTTTGCAACCTTTCGGGCACACACCTGTCTGCAGTATTAGGGAGTGCTTGTAGACATGCAGGGACATGCTGCTCTGATGCGCTGTAATTATGGCACGTTGGAGCAGACTCGATGAATCAAGTCTGCTGGAGCATGTTAATTAGCACACTCCCAAGCCCCTGCACCTTGTATATTCGGTGTCCCTGTGCTTCAAAAATGGCAGCCCGGGTGCTTTTAACTAAAGCTTGTCCAGCGAGCTTTAGTTAAAGCGCCCCTGCCATCATTTTGAAGTGCAGGACGCTGAATATGCAAGACTCCCAGGCACCTTTGGATTTGAACTGTTGTCAATGAGCCGAGGTATGAGCGAACTTTTCCTTCTTTGTTTCCTGTGAGGTTAATAACCTGCTTTGCACACTTTAGGATCCTCTTGGATTTATTTATTTTCTGTCTGTTTTATTCTTTCAAAGCACCTTTTGGAGAGGGACACTGCAAGGTCTCTAAACTGTTTAGGCCTTTAAATTAGAATGTAATTGGGACTCACCTGAGTCATGGAACTTGTGATGTCTCTCTGCAAAGGGGTCAGTCTCAATTTAGCCTCCTTCCATCTCCTATTCCTGATCTGTCCCTATTAAAGAATGAAGTTGATAAGCAACATATTAACTTTTCAATACAAAAAATGGCTCTGCAGTTCTTGCAGCCAATGTCACAAGATGTAATAAAAAGATTAAAAAAAAAAAGCTGGTAGGCATTAAGTTGTCTGAATAAGCCACATGTTTCCTAGTGCTTGAGTATGCTTTTACTATCACCTAGTGGCCAGCTGAGTTGCCTTCCCTGAGTAGACTCCGCAGGAATTTAATTTCCCGGTGTTGTCAATTAAAATAGTAGATAGACCATTATGCTGTCCCTTCTGACTTATGGGATTTTTCATTCATAGGATGTATTTAAGCAAAACTAAATGAATGGACTGTGAAATAAATACAGAGCTTATCTATACACTGGAGGGGTCATTTTCTAGACCCCGTCAGAACTTGAAGTAGCAGGGCTTGCTGGTCACTGCTGACCAGAACTGGGGGAATGGAGAATACCAAATTAAAAAGAAACCAACCCTGACCTTTTTATCAAAAAACAGGCCTTTCAACACCATTCTGTTTCTCCTGAGTCCTGGAAAGCTTTAGAGCCTTTGCCTTGGTTGCAAATTGAAAACAAATTTCCAGATCCTGCAAGTTGTCATGCAACGAGTTGTCCTTCTCTGGTTAGCTTTAGTTGTTCTGCTATAACCGAATAATGTCACTAAATAGAGTTTTAGGTGTGCAGTTTTTCTACAGTGGACACGGCTACACTGGAATCAAACCTCTTGTAACAGGATAGATATTCTTTTAAGGGAGGCAGACAAAATAGACCTTGCTTAAGCATTTACTTCTATGCAAAATGACTGCAAGGTGGGTACAAAAATTCTTTCTACCTACTTTGCAGAGCTGGATGGATCAAGTTGCACAATGATGGTGAGTCCAGCACTTGAGAATATAGTCTCTAGAACAGAGAACTATTTTCACATGCTTTCCTACCCATCCTCTTGACTGCAGAATAGGATTTTAGTTATGGCAATTTATATATGATTATAATAATTATATGCAATTAATAACAATATACTTTTAAGAAGAAAGCAGCCCTAAATAAGGCAGATAGTTAGGAAAATCGTATTGCAAAGTAAAAGAATGTTTTGCTTTAAAGTAATGAGACTGAGGCTTTATATTTTATTTTATCAGTACATGACTGTCGTCTTTGTTGGTTATGATGATAAACTATATTCTCTTTAATGATTATATAAGTGTGAAGCTTTCGAGTGAGGTATGGATTAGTCTGGCTCATTATTTATATATGGTGTGCTTTTTTTGCTACAGCAGCTAATTGGGGTCCTTCCATCTCTAGTAACTGCAAGGGTGGTTGTATCATTGCCATGTGGCCAGCCCAGACTTGTGTGACATGGAGTCATCTGGTGCATTCGCTTTCATAACAATGTATTTTCTCCATGGTCATTTGTTTTAGGTAAAGAGAAAAAGCGTGAGGCACAGGAATGTTTTGAAAGGCAGTGCCTATCAAGTGATGACTTACAAGCTCTCCAATGATTTTGTAGGCATGTCTTTTCCAGAGGTTTGCCGGTAGGTAGAGCAGATTTGATTATTCTTCCCCATCCCCCATGTGCCTCTCAGTCTGCTTTTTACAGTGAGGACATGTCCAGGTATCTCTTTGTGACTGTAAATCTGGCCTGTTCTTTCCCTAGGTTGTGCTTTGTGAAGCTGAACCTTGTGCTGTTTGCTGTCGAGTTCAGGTTTGGCGTTCATGGGAACAGGTGACTAGTGTTGCTGGTGGGACACTTTTTTTTTTTTTTAACAAGAACTCATCCAAGTAGCGGCTATTCCCCAGGACTTTGAAGAACACTTGCTCCTGGGCAAAGGGCCGATGCAAGGCTTATTCACCACTTGCTTCCCACTTTTGCCATATGTACCAGACTTAAGTGAGACATAGGCCTGGGGCAGTGCAGTGGAAAGGAGCAAATTTCACCCAATATAATTAGTTTCTTCCCCTTCCTGTTCCCGTAAAGGTGACCAGCCAGAAAGGCAGATGTACCTTGGTATTTACTGTCCATCCCAATATTTTTACTGATGTGACTGCCCTTCCCTAGAGAGCTTTTTAAGCTGTTTCTGCATGTGCAAATCCCTTCTCCATCACCCAGGAGAAGCAGACACTGAAGTAAAGGGCACATTTAACTTCCAGCTGATTTCAGGGCAGCTGAGAGTAGTCAGCTCTGGGGCTGGCCACAAATCAAGCATTCCATTTAATGAAAAGTGTCAAGGCTTGGGAATTGGTTTCATTTTACATTGGAATAATAGTGAGGATTTTTTCCCCCAGGGAGAGACAGAAACCCAGGCCAGAGCACCCAAGCACCCCATGGTTAGGGCTGTACTGTGTGGGATATGGGGAACCCAGCACAGGTCCCTGCTTTGACTAATTTTGGAGCGGGGATTAAAACTTCAGACTTTACCTACTTAAGTGTGTGCCATGATCGTTGTGCTGTACATGCAGGAGCTTCACATCTCAACATTGCTTCCCAGGCCTGAAAAATATTTCTAAACAAAACTGGCATTTACCAACAGAAAACACATTGTTAAAAACAAAACAAAACAAAAAAACCCTCCCAACCATGAGCTCCTCACAACACTCTTTGGACTCAGGCTTCAAACAACTCATAGTTTTCCCCAGATTGAGAAAGTTTGCAAAACCCTTTGTATCAAAATGTGATTTTCAATGCATAGCACACTTAAACAGTAATGTCTGACTTAATGGCCTGTTCTGTGCCAGTATGAGACCATTGTGTCACATAATGTGGTACCAACAATCGCTGAGAGAGTCGGCTATATGAAAGCAGAAAGTTGTGGCGGGCCTTATTTCACTGTCTTAGTTGCAGTCTCATAAGCAAATTCTGTATAGTTCCCCTTGATTTGGAGAGATCAAGCTCATTCTGCAACTATTTCTGTCCATTCCTAATGGAAATACTTCCTTGGATTTTAACCATAGAAGGTACTAAGGTTCCTAAACTCCATAAAACATTGTCATAAAAGTGTGATCTATCAATGCTGACAACAGAACTTGCTTCATTCTGAAGCTGATGTGGTCCAGAGCCAGATAACACTCTCTCTGTTCCAGTGATGAAATACAAGACCCCTTAATGGGAAAGCTGGAACCAGTTCATAAACAGGGAATGAGCAAGCGGTGTACAACATGGAAAACCTTGCAAAATTATCCTGAGAGTGGCAGGTTATTGCATACAATACGTATAAATATTTGCTTCTATAAATGAAGTAGCCCCTTTGGGAAGGATCCTCAGAATATGGAATAGAAACAGAGAAAAACAGAATAATGGGTGATAGGACAGTGAACTGGCTTGGGATATTTGGGTTATGGTCTCCACAGACCCTGAGCATTCATCAGGCTGAATGAAGTCAAGGCATGCTAACCAATGGAAATCAGACCCTGGATGAATCTCTTGTTGTGGGTATTTTGGCGGGGTATGTTAGAACAAAGGGAATGAGGAAAATGATGACAAGATGGAAAATAAGAAGAAGCTTCTCGGGGCAGAAGCGATCTTTTTGTTCTGCATGTGTGCTCTCCTTCACGCACAAGGTTCTTGTTCAATGACTCGGGCTTCTAAATGCTACCACAATGCTAATGCTACTGCTAATACTATTACTCCTACTAATGCAGTTAATAGGTGAGTATCCTTTATTTCTCCATTAGCAAATGTGTGACTAAACGGAAGGCAGTGGAAGGGAGGTCTCTTCTTTCTTTTGTAGGAGGAATAGGAAACGGTTAATATTTTTTACTAGAGTTGCCTGCTCCAATTGAACTGCCAACATCCATTAAAACTGGGCTGAGATCACTAGGATATTCAGATACAACTGGTACATCTAGCAGTAGAGCAGGGCTACCCAGGTGTACCTGACAAATTTAGTAACACTGCAGTGGGATTCAACCTAGTTGTACTTTAATAGGAAGAGCAGCACAGCAGGTATATTCTCAGCAAAAGTACCTGGGATGTTCATTAGAAAAACAGGTGTCTTTTCCCTAGACATAACAGGCCTGTTCAATACCACAGCAGGCGCACCAAGCCTGCACATTCCTAATACATTTAGCAGCACAGCAGGTATGCTTTAACGGGGAATATTTGGCATCTTCAGCAAAACGTTGGGTGCACCTGGTTATATCTGGAATATTCAGCAGCTGAAGACACACAGCAAATTAATCCTTTAAAATAAGCATTTTAAATAGTTTTGTAGTATGAAAAAGCCTGTGTTCTATCAACTTTAGAGTCATAAACAGTCGTAAAAAAACTGAAAGACTGCTGACATCATAAAATAGGCTGGTCTTGTGAATTGGGACCTAAGAGATCTGGGTTTGTGTTTCTACCCCTGTCAGAGCCTTCCCAAGTCAGTCCCCTGTGCCTTGGTCCTTTATGTATAAAAGAGTGCTAATAACACTTACTGCCTCACAAATGTGTGCAAGAAGGGGCTGTTGTGATCATTTAAGCTGACCTCAGAGGTAACAAAGGTTAAAAAAATTCAGCCACTAAATAGACAATAATGTGATTTTTTTGTTTGTTTGTTTGTTACTGTTTCCCAGTATCCTAATCAACCCGTCTGCAAAGATAATGCTCCATCGAAATGTAATGGGCTTTTTTATTGCCAAATCCATGGCAGAAGTCAAAAGGTAACCTTTCAAATCAAAAAGTTCTGGACAAGCAAACTTTTGGAGAGCAAACAAATGCATTTGAAACATTTCCTTTCCTCTGCTAATTTTAATCCAATTTTTCCCTCTATTCTGTTATGATCCAGGGCGCATTTTTACTGTAAAGCCTGCCATAGTGATATTGATAATCCAAAACTGATTGAAAAATGTCATTGTAGAAGCAAACTTCGGAGGAGAACCATTACAGGTAATCTTCCTATAAATTTAAGCATCAGTTAGAATGAGAGGATGGCGTACAAATCTGGGCATCAGTTATGATGTAACTACCTGCAACAGCTCAGGTATGACTTGCCTACCTGCCCACTACTCCCCTGGCTGCCATGGAAATATGGGCTTGAACACAGTCTTTTATCCTTATGAAATAATATACTGAGTTCCACGCAGGTAATTGTGTGTGGATCTTTCAGATGACACTTCAGAAAACCTTGCAATCCTGTCTACTTTGACTGAATATTACAGGTTTCTATAGCTTATAGTGATAGGAGTCAAATTGCAAAAAAAAAAAAAAAGGATTCTCCTCTGCTGCCACTGATTTAGCACAAACTTGATGCCCTTTAGTCCCAGAGCTGAACTCTAAGGTACTTCCAACCCATTGGTGCTGCATGCATACAGTTTGTGAACTGCTTGGTATTCAAGGCTCTCTGGGGCCAGAGTTCATAGTTTCATATAACTTCAAAGTTGTTAGGGGCTGGAAGGGACCTTACAGATCATTGGGTCTAGCCTCCCCTGCACTTGGGCAGGAAAGACCTCTGGGATCAGATGACCCAGCAAGATGGGCAGCAAGACGCTTTTTGAAGATTGCCAGGGTGGATGTCTGTACCACCTCTGGGGGGATCCTGTTCCAACAGTGGTACAAAGGTGGTCCTTAGTTTGTAACTGGTAACTACTCGGACAAAACTTCGATTGAAAACAGCAGGAACAAAGCCTGAGTAAAAGGAGCCAAATACACTGAGGAAGGCTGTCAGGATATGGCCTATATAATATCATCATAAGGATATGAACTAATAAACACAAGGTCAGCAAAGATAGACTTGAGTTTGTGCCAGGATATATTACAAGTGGTAAGCACTTTATGTTAAAAATGTAGAAAGTTTGGATTAAGTGCGGGGAAAATGCCTACTCGTAGTAACATCAACCCAAGAGTAGAATGGCTTATTCCTTCCTCACCCCAGATTTCATTTCCTATGGCTCTTGAGTCTGAAAAAGGGCTATATGGCCTGACAGATCTAAATTAAGAGCTGAAATCTAACCCAGATCACAGTGAGCATCTCTGTGCTCATCCCTCGTTAACACCCTTCTAGATTCATAGCGTTTAAGGCTATAGGAGATGCCGTTTTATCATTAAGCCTCATGGCCTGTATGTAACTGGCTACTAAAAACCATGCAGTTTCTTTTGCTGACCTGAATAACCTGTGCATGACTGAAGCAGAACTTGTCATGGCAGCATGATGTGGGAGATCGGGGAACAGAAATGCCTTTTTCCCCCTCAAAAAGTGGTTTCCTTTGAGCAATGCTGAAATCTGCTGATCAGGCAGCACACCCTGCTTCCGAACAGATAGATGGAAATGTTCAAAGTCTCCTCCTAGGAGATTTGGGCCAAGCTAGTCATTAGATATAGCAAAAGATGTATTTCTAAACCTCCTCATCTGTTTTTACCTTGTCTACCACTGTACCTCTTACATATGGTGCTTTGTGCCACACGCACGCGCGCGCACACACACACAGTCACTCTGTGCATGTGTACATTATATAACATTTCCTTTCAACAGTAGATGGCAGCCAAGCCCCATTATTAAATATCTGACTGAGGCACACAGGGCTCAGAGAAAGGCTAAACCCATTCAGAGAGTTGCACTGTCAGGCCAAGTGAACAAACGCATATGCACTGACACCTGGAGGACTCCGTATAGTAATATCATTTACAACAAGAAACTATTGCCTATTTTCAGTCCTGCGTACAGATCAACATAGATGCCAAGGCATAAGGCTCCCCAAAGCCAGCTACCTCCCAGAACAGAGGATCCCATAAATTGCACACATATCTTTAAGAGTTAGCAGCCAACAGATGGCGAGACATTGATACCACAGGAGCTCTTCACCTGATTGTTTTTCCTTCTCTTTAGCGTATGATCTTAGATGATCGGATTTTAAAAGGACAAGACAGGCTTATAATATAAATGTATAGTCATAAAAGGCAATTGTTTGCAAAGCTGCGGCTCCACGCCAGTTATACTGCAGAGAGAGCAGTTACCTTAGGCAGATAAGAAGTGTTGCCAGACGTGAAACCTTGCCATCAGTTTCTCTGTAGGATTTTGGATGTATTGGAGCAAAACACTGGTTAATTATAAGTGCTTTGGTTCATGCCAGAAAAGGGAATGTCACTTAAACAGTATGTGTCACCCTGGCCTGGATGCCTCCACTACCACTATGAGCCAAAATGAATTAAGGAGTGGTGGATGAGATCCCCAACTAGTGTTAAGTCAGTGTGTCTCCAGTGTCTTCCATTAAACCAGGCTGATTTTAAGATGGGTAAGAATTAGGTTTATTGTCATGAATCGAAAAACTGTTTCAGGACACTAAAAGAATTGGACTTCAGTAAAAGGAGCCAAGAGACTTTGCCTTCTACGTGCTATAAAGTGCCATCATTTAACTGGAGTATGTATGGCAGCAAAAGGGAAAGACGTTCTGTTAAAGTAAAAGACGAGGGCTATTCCTGCTTTAGCTTCAAGATAACAGAACCTGGCCAAAAATGTCTCTTGCCATCTGATGTTGCCATGATTTTCAGACATCCTGAAAGAAACCAGACTGAAGCCACTCGAGACAGGTATCTTATGTTCAGGGAACGAGTACAGGGCCGAAAGCTTTGCCCATGCTTCATCTCGCCCAAATGCTTTGGCTCTGACCCAGAGTTAACCATCTTTAGTGGTCAGAGGGGAATTCAACCTTCAATGTTTTTTTCCCATTTTGGCCGCTTTGCTGAGTGTCAACAAGAGACGCAATCACTGCCAGCAGAAAAAAAACAAAAGATGGATCAAAGGAGAAAAATGTTACTGAGAATAAGGGCAGGGGTGAGACCTCCCAAGGTTTGAAGGATTCAGCTTGTTCATAGCATTTGCTCCGGGCCTCATTCAGGTGTTGCCCTTCACCTGGATGGGCCCCCCCCCCCCCCCCCCTGCCCACTGGGAGTTTGCAGGTGCTTTATTCCCCCTGTAGCTGACCTAGCTTGCAGTGCGTGTTCAAGGTTTGAGGCTGTGTTACTTGGGCCGGTAATCCACCCACTTTGCTATGAGGAATGTGAGCCATATTAATGAAGTGATGATCATCCATCTTTGACTTCCCACAATTCCTCCCATGTGCCCAGATGCCCAAATAAATACTCCCACCATTCAGTGGGAAAGACTCGCCTATTAACTCGGCTGACTGCACGTGACATTTCCTCCGAAAGTCCCAGTGACACGTGGTGAGGGCAGGGCCAGCAAAGACAGTTACCCAGGTAGGGCTCTGCAGTATAGATATTCATACCTGGGCTAGTCTAAAGTTGGTGCTGATCACTTGAGTTAACTCTGCAGTAAAGACATACCCAAAGTCAATGGGACTTGGCTTGTAAGTGGAATAGGGCTGGATTTGATGTCTAGTTGCTTATAGATGCAATAAGGGCAAGTGGGATTTTCAAAGCCTCTTCATTTTCAATAGCACCACATAGCTATCTGCACTTTTAGGCACCTACATTTTTTAAAGTCTGCCCTTTTGGTGTTTTTGGAAATCCCAACCTAGATGCTCAGCAGGCAAAGATGAACATTAATGCTGTTGAAGTTAATGGAGGGCTGACCCTTTTGGAAGACCCTCTGGCCTCCTTTGCTTGAGGTGAGGCAGAAAGTTTGCAGCAGATCCAGATCTCCTGAGTTAACATTAAGTGCCCTCACTATAAGACAGTCATTCCTCAAGCTCACAATGGGATCTCAGAAGCTTAGTTGTCTCAGCTCAGGGGGATGTTTTTAGATTTACCCTCCATTGCTTAGCTTACAAAACCATTACTAAACTTGACCTCTCAAAGAGATTGACAGCAACATGTCGTGTCTTTGGATCATTTTCCATCCTGTACTGCTGCCACCACCACCTTAAAATGGGATTGCAAAGGAAGCTATCTTGTTACCAGGAGTAAATGCACCTGCATTTAGCATACCTGTGTGGGTGCAATTACTGTTTGTCAAAGTCAACAAATCGCCTATTCAAAAAGATGTCTCTTCTGTGCCAGGAAAATGTGTAGGCTCATTAGATGTTTCATCTGGATGAGCATAGTTTGGAAATAGTTACAAAATGAGAAGGAAACAAAAAGCATGTGAGAGGGTTCAGCTGTCAGTCTGTGTGATGAAGAGATATGTGGGTCTGAATGCCTCTCCAGTCCAAGTTCCCCCACATGCACATTGGACCTGTTTGGGCATATATGACATGGAGATCTTTGCTCCTTCTCCTGTCAGACTCTTGACAGGGGTAGGGATGAGATTAAGAAGGCAGGAGGCAAGGCAGACACAAGGCTGAGGAGTTTGAGAAGCTGTGAGCCACATAACGAGGTCTGTACACAGTCCTTGTGTAATTAGATACAGATGGATACCAACTACTTCAGAAAAACCCACTGGGTGCCTCTGCATCTTTAGTTGTCTACATTTTCTTTAAAAGCTGGTCCTCTTTAACTTAGGAGCAGGAAGAACTTCTGGAATTCACCTTGGGAATTAGCCCTTTTAGGTGCATGGTGATTTCCAGATACCATTTGTCCAGCAAAGAAAAGCACTTAAGGCACGGCAGAGGTCTGATGTAATTCGGTGGTAGCTGGCTTGGAGTCTGGCTTAGTGTGGGATACCTGGGAGGTGAGGTCATCTGTTTTGTGGGACAAATTGGCAATTTTTATTGGGTTTTACTTTGAGCATTTGGGGTCATTTGAACCTCTTAAAAAACCTACAGAAATTTTCATGTTAATCCCCTTTCAGAATGAGTCCATGGTTGGTCTAACTACATAATATTAGCTCTGCATGATGCTGTCAGGTTCCTACTAGGCCTAAGGTACCCACATTATAATGCTGCACTGCCTTGCTGTGTTTGGCTCAGCAATTACTCAAAGCCAGGCATTTTTGAAGCCCCCACAAAACCCTTTTTGGCACTTGCAACCAGAATATAAATATATTTGAGGGTTATACAAAAGGTAGCAAATTCCTTTTCATTGCCTTTGTTTCAGAAAAGCTGAAAGCCCGCCGAGAAACTCTGTGCGTTCCAGACCAGGACCCGGTAAAGTCAAGGTCTCTTGGGGTTCTTCCTCCTTCGAGTTATGCTGCCAGGTAAGAAATGTAAGAGTGTGTTTGTGTGCGCACGTGCATATTGGACAGGGATGTCCTCGTCTTGCTGCACTGAGAATTCGGGATATGCGGAAGGCAGGGTAAGTCTGTCTCCTTTTGAAATAGGTTCAAAGGGTTTTTACTTCTAAGTCCCATGCCATTGTCACTGGTTTTGTTTGCAGTGCATAGTTTGTCCTGATTAAGTGAAGAGCTTTACAGAGCAATCTCCACCTTGCACATATAGCTCCTCAGCCCTTCAGCCCACACCCAATGTACAGGTTTAATCCTTTAAAATGCAGAGAGCACCTCTAAGATGCTGAGTGTTCAAATGCCTTCCAACTTCAGTGGGAATGGATGGCGTTCAGCTTCTCGCAGGGCTGTTCAGCACTTTGCAAACATGATCTCCCAAGTCAGAGGGTGAGTTCTCTGACATTTAAAACATTGAGACCCAAATGTCCAGGAGTAAGTATGGGCTTTGCAGCATGCCTGGAAAATGAGCAAACCTGGACTTCAGCAACATATGGAGGAAGCCTCATCTAAAGTTGAATAACTTTTCCCAGAGAACTCGCCCCCTGACCCCGTGACCAAGGCCCTTCCTGTTAAACCCACAGTAGTCTCAACCTGAGTCACTCTGCTGATTGCAGCAGTGGTGGTAACACAAAGGGAGAACTGCCCAGGTTGCAGAAGCTAAATTCCTCCCATTGTTCTTGCTGGATTAGCTGGTCATCAGTCAAGTTGAATCCTGGGCTCTGCAGCATAGACCTGATCTACCTATTGCATTAGCTACAATAATTGCACCTGTAGAGATGAATGGTGATACCTATACTCATAGAAATACTCCATAACTGACCTTCACTGAAATGACTCATGGTGCAAGGCACCATAATATGACGCATTTGTTGCTGGCAGCAGTAGTAGGCTATTATATTGTGGAGAGCTACCCAATGAAGAACCTTCCAGTATGTATTGGCAACATTGTTATACAAGAATTTTTGGGAAATGAGACAAAATCCTGACAGGGTAAGGACACTAGGAGCCTTTGCAAACTTCTTCTTTCAAGGGCTGGATGGCAGTGTCTGTGAGGAGCTTGCAGATCTAAAAGAAACACGCCCTAATTTAATAAATAAATGAATAAATAAAAGTCCCCTGCCCCCCCGCATCAACCTGTCCAATTTTGTGCTTCATCAGCAAAGGCAAATGTTGGCACAGCAAGAACTCCAGGGTCTCCTCTGGGTAGCTCTGCAACTCAGCAGCTGTCCCCAGCACTTGCATGGTATCAGGACAATAAAATGTTGTTCATTGCATCTGCCCTACAACCAATTAGGTCAGCTGTAAATATTGGAACTGCATGGTAAACATATACACACGCGCGGGTAGATTGTGCTGACTTGTTAAATATAAGTGAAAACATAATTAGATTTATAACACATCCCTTCCCCCTGCTCCCCCCCCCCCCCACACA